TGCTACTGCTACTGCTACTGCTACTTCTACTACGACGACGACGACGACGACGACTACTACTACTACTACTATGCTCTGCATTCAAGGTTCAGAGAATTGAACGGACTGGCCAGTACCCTGTACTGTGGCAGCTACTGCTACCAGTCCTGCTGTTGGTGCTCCTGCTTGGCAGACACCACAGTCAGTGTCCCCATTTTCGTTGTCATCGTTTGTTCTGTGACCATTGGAATAATTTGAAGGGCTCTTCTTGTTTTGCCAGAGTGCTTTGCTAGGTCTCTTTTTGTAGGTTTCGCCATGGTTCCCGGCGTTGTCTTATGGCTGTTGTAGGTATGACTCCGACTCCCAAATCCCAAGCCTCAACGGCCCGAAACCCTTCAGGTCACCTTCAGCCCAGACACCGGCGCCGTCATCCGCGAGCGGAAGGATCGGTCGGGACTCCGAAACCTTCGAGCCCCAAACGCTGCAGCCCAGCCCCTGCTAGAGTCCTCACCCGAAGGCCTCAAGTCTCCGACCCCAACGTGCTCAAGGCGTTCCACACCCTTGAAAAGCCACCCAAAACTCCTTAAAATGCCAGAAGAACTGCCAAAGCGTTCGGCAGGTGCAGGAGGCGCCCCGGAAGGTCGAGGGTGGAGGGCTCAGAAGCACCGACCAAGGTTGAATCAGACTGACATCACCGTTTGTTTCGTTGCACTATGTTTAGACGTTTGTCCTTGGTGTCACGGCCGTTGTTTGTTGGTGGGAGGATCACTGCAATGCTGATGACGATGATTGCATACAGCACAGCCTAGCATACGTACAAGACTTCATGCTAGCAGCACCAACGCCATCACCAGCAAACACGGCCAATACTTTTTGCGAATCAACTGCAACTGCTCTCCTAGTGTCAAGAAAGTGCGCAGTTTTCTTTGGCTATGTTGATCTCCGTTTATTCGTTTTGTCCTGTGCTACGGTCATGATTGCGTCCTCTTCTTGTATGCCGAGGAGCGTACATCCAACCGTTGCCCACCATCACTGCCGGTCAAGGCTTCGAGGGCACGATGGGCCCCTGCCTTGGTCTCTTCGTCACTGTCCAGGAAGTCTGCAGAGGACTTCTAAGCTTCTCGCCACCGAGGCATGTACTATGGTGGTGGACACCTCGCTTTTTTCAGGCCATGAACGCGCTTCATGTTTCGGAGTCGAGATCCATCGCATTCAGATCGCGACGGAAGCCGTCTATCACGATTGACGCCTGGTCTTTCTGAATGTGGCCATAAGTTCATTCCTACGAAAAATGCTGCTGATATTCCTGGCAGTTGTGCCGCCAAGCAAAATAAATACTTACCATCTCGGAAAACAGCCTTTGGCCTGTTGCGGCGGACCCACTGCTGACCCCTCTTTGACTGAAGAATGTTGTCGATGCGTTCAGGATTAGCAGGCGCCCGGCACCGTCGTTCAGTCTCTACATACGAAAGCTCTGGAACCTTTGAATGGCCCGCGAAGCGTGCGAGTGGACGGTTTTGGTCAGGCGAAGACGTCAGTCATCCAGTATTCTCATGGCGACAAGTATTGTTCAAAATTCTAAAGTCTAAAGGCACGGATGCAGTCTCCAATTGCGTTGGTCGATCTTGCCATACCTGCAGCTACCAACAAATTTCAAAGGGGGCTCTGAGGTCCTCACCCTCGATGCCATCCGAACCGCTAAGCCCAAGTCCGGCAGCAGGTGTAGCAGTTAACCTGGGTCAATCCGTGCCTGAAATGTACCATCATTTTCTGTGAGATACTACAATATACTATGACATACTATCATATACTCTATGTACGATGCTATAGTAGACTTGATCTACTACGATGTACGGTAATTTGCCATAATCTACCATAATATACGCTGATATACCATCTCTCAGAAAGTTTGAGGGCTTTGCCCTCGCCGAGCGCAGGAGACACTACAGAAGCAAAGCAGAGAATGAGGCGCACCGAGCTCTTGGGTCATCATAATATAAGGGCCTTAACGATTAAAATAGGGTTTTGGGGCCATTAAACTATAATTTTAATAAGGACCCCCCAAAAAAAAACAAATAGTATTGGTAATTATTTAGGCCCCTACATTAATCTTCAGATACTAACAACACTGCTAATTTTCATAGTCGTATGATAACAGTTATGATGTAGTGAGAACAAGAAAAGCAATAGCAACAATATATTTATGATAGTAGCGGGTGATATAGGAGCCCTGAAAACTGGAACGGGGTTTTTGGGGCGTATGGTAGTACACGTATACAGGGACTATAGGCGGCAGTATTGCTTGTACTACTTATATTTTATACTACAAAATACTATGATACACTGCAATATACAATCATATACCATAATATACTACCGTAGTATACTATAATATACTAATTATAATACTCTAGCATCTTCAGGATTTCAGAGCTTCGGGAACCAAGGGCTTGCCTGCACGCCACTGCTCGTGAGGTCTGCCGTCTTTGGACTGGGAGGCTAAGAGCGGTTTTTGGGGTGTGTAGTTTGGGTTTCGGGTTCAGGGTTGAGGGTTTTGGGGGTTGTAGCTACAGGCCGCTTTTGACTTCTGGCCTGGGGAGTCTTTGAGCTGCAGTTCCTCAACCTAAACCCGCGACCCGGAAGATTCTGGGAGCCGCCGTTGTTCAGGGGACCCCTGCTGGACAAGAAAGCCCTTAGGCCTCCAAACCTCCAAAGCCAGCAAAGCCCTGAACAAGTGCAAGGCCCTTGCCGAAGCCCAAACCCGAAAACCCATGAAAGCCCTAAAGCCCTAAAGCCCTAAAGCCCTGAAGCCCTAAAGCCCTGAAGCCTTAAACCCTAAGCCTTAAAACAGAAAAAAACTTAAGCCCTAAAGCCCTAAAGCCCCTGAAGACCTCTCTGGCTGCCTGGCGCAGGCTCCAGAGTTGGGTTCGTGGGAGCCGGAAGCTGAGATTCGGTTTGAGGATTTTTTTTTGGGTACCGGGCACTGTATTCGGTTTAGGGCTTAGGGTTTAGGGTTTAGGGTTTAGGGGTACCGGGCACTGTATTCCTTTCCAGGGTTTAGGGTTTAGGGTTTAGGGTTTTTCGTCTTGTGCTATATGGCAGCATATGATGATGAAATATTAGAGTTTTGATAGTATGGTGGTGATAGTATACTATAGGTTACATATATTATATTTTTGTATATCATAGGTTATCGTATATTCTGTGGTCGTAATCGTATGTTATGGTACATCATGGTATATTACGGTATATTGCAGTATGTTATCATACTTTTGTTGTCTATTGCAATATATTGTATTATAGGGCTGTGAACCACCATACTACATACAATAAGCAACCATGGTACTGAATAGCAGTCAAAACAGCAAACATCTACTGCTGGTGTGCCAAAAGTGACAGGTGTGACTTTTTGAGTGTGATGGTAGTCTTTCGTAGCTATACAGCCACAGCGATGATACTTTTCGTATCTCGTTAGCATCCCTACTTGTGTTTTTCTGGGCCTTGCTATTGTTCTTGCCTTTGTGAAATGCACTACAAGCATGTTTTTCTTGATCTTGTCAGAACTTGACCGTCGTCGTCAACGCTGCCGTGAGTCCTATTGCTAACGCGGTTGTTACCACCTGTCAACTGTGAACTGAATCGAGCCAGAGACTAGCAGCCGTCTCCCTGAGAAGCCACAAAAGCCAGCGAACCTTGCACACCAAAGTCCTGTGCCGAAGGCCAAAGCCGCAACCATGGACACTACAGCCCAGAATCATCAATTACAAGTTTGAAGCGAATCAATCCAGAAATTTGCAAACAGTTTCCCGGAAACCATCGAACTGCACACCTAGACTGCCATCGAACATGCCAGCAAGAGTAATGTTTGATAGTTTCGGTATCAACCGGGTGTCGGAGTTGCGGTGGGATTGTCACGATGGCTCTGACAGTAAGTTACCTAGTTGTACTGCTATGTGTAGCAGCAGTGGCAACGATATTGAGTGGTGTGTGTCATCGTGGTCGACCAGTCAGTGTTGTGGGAAAGTTCGAATTGCCCGTGCCAGTGTTACTGTTCGCAATCATAGTTGCTATCAGCAGCCGTAGCCATTTCACTTAGTAGTAAGTGTCACCAGCAC